ACCCGGGGCGGGGCGGGGAGGGTCGGGTCTCTCCGCCCGCCCCGGGAGGGAGGGGCCGCCCTGGCCCTGGGTGGTGGCCCTGCGGCCACAGGGCTCGTCTCGGTGACTCTGACGGTCCCCGCGGCCCGGCGTGCCCGATGCTGGGCTCGGCTGGGAAGGCGAGAGGGTGGGTCACCTGCGGGAGGAGGTATGTCACCTTCCTCTCGGTGACATACTCGGTTGTGGTGTGACAAAGCACCTGGGATTTGTGCAACCACCTCCTCAGAGGCTGGTTCTGGTACAACTTCACGGCAGTCTTCGTTTTAAAACACACCCAAGTGTCGTGTGAGCTCGTAAGAGGCTTGGTACTCCAGCTAGCCCAGGAAGTGAGCTCTCTCCTTCCCCTAGAACACGCTTTTTTGCAGCTGAGGTGTGAGAATTACTGGTCAAAAAGCAAGTACCATTTTTGAAATTTGTGTGTTTCTAGATGAAAGGGGTCAAGGAAGGTTCTCCAAGAGAGGGGGAGTGAGGCCTGGTTTCCTCTAATGCTGTTTCAGCCCCCTTCTGCAGTACCTTCCAGGTGAGGTGGAGCAGTGCCCTTGCCCGCTGCTTAACAGCCTTGTTGGGGGATCTCCTCTCTGGCTGGATCTGTTGCTGAGGGAGTTGGTTTATAAATCAACAGTGATAGTGTAAGTTTTTTAATGTCAGCCTAAAGCCGACTGTTTTGTGCTTCTGTGCCTTTCAGAGATGTGCTGGGGATTTGATTTTCATTTTGTGAGGTACTGGTAAGATCTGGGCTTTGGAAAACACAAGCAAAATATGGAGATCTATAATTTTGACATTCCATGGGAGATGAAATTAGTGCCATTGCACACAGACCAGAAATACATAGGAATGGATTGGGTTGCAACTTGGCCTCCACAGGATGAAAGAAGGTAAAAATTCCCTTTTGGCACATCGTCTATCTCCAGAAAGCCAGATGAATTGTGTGTTGGTAGATTTGGATGAAAGCATTTTAACTATTTCCCTATACAAAATGACACAAATGTCAGTGCAGTTAGAAGAAAAAGATTCTTTTGTAAGTACATCTTAAATGTGGGATTAAGTATATCACCAGGGTATTTATGGGAAATGTGTTTGCCTATCACTGCATTTTTAGTGTATTAGAGTTTATTTACAAAGACTTGCCCCCAGAGCTCTTGTATTTCTTTTGCAGCAACTGATCATGCCATTCACTGAAGGGAGTCTGCTGTGATTTCTGATTTGCAGAACAAAGTAAGACATATGATCTGTCTCGGCAGATAAAAAAAACTTTGAGTTCACTTCTAAAATTTATTTGATTCTGAAAGCTGTAAGTGTTGTTGCTTTCATGGTGGCTTTTTTTCATTCAGTATCTTGTCACTTTCTCTGTGTACATTTTACGTTTGTAAATGAGAGCATTTCATCGCAGTCTTTGAGAAGATGAGTTATCAGCATGTGCTGCAGCGAGTCAGTTTCAGGTCAAGCAGCGGTAGGAGGCAGCAATTCTTGCAGCGGCCATAAATCAGATTTGTGACGGTGCGGCTCCATCTAGTGATTCTTCTCTACAACTACAAGGGAGAGGAACTGCGGCTTCCTCTGTTCAGTGAAACACAGGAAGCGTGCAAGCTTCCAGTGTTAGATTGACCTCTGGACTCGATTCGATGCCCCATTTGGACATCTCTAGGAGCGTCAGGTTTCTGAAAGCTCCAAGAGAACTGGTGAACTGAATTGCTAACACACTTAAATGCGTTTCTGAAATTCCTCTCACCCCCAAGCTGTTAATCAGTAATAGCTTAACTTTGATGGCAGCGTCGGGTGTTTTACTGTATCGCTGTACTGGACATTATGTTGTTTCCTATAGATAAAGAAGCTGGTCTTCAGATATCTAAACCCCCACTTTCACAGTGGGGTCAAAAGAGTTAAAAATCTTCCAGCTGGATAGAATGGAGCCATCAGCTTTTCTTTGAACAATTCCATTTTCAGTTTACTTAACTCTGTGATATATACTGAACAGAAAACTTTGATTAACAGATTTATCAGACAAGAGCTTGCAGTGTGCTATGGCTACCTGAGGATTTAAACATTTTGGTAGATTTCTGCCTACTGCTTGTGTAAGTAAGATGAAAGCTACCTAGAGATTAAAAACTGAGTGTAATATGGGCTTGGATACAAACCCCACTGCCACCTAGATCTGTAAGGTCAGTCCAGTTACACAGATTCCATGGGAAATCAGGATTGCTTCCACTGCTGTAGTCAGTAGACATATTTGCTGTGCCTGAAAGTGCCATCTCTCTGAAACTGCGTTCTTGAAAGGTTAGGAGGGTTTTGGCAGCATATTCAGGCTGGAGCCAAAACATGATCGCATTTGTAAAACATATGGAGTAGGACAGACGGGATGGTGGCTGACCTCAGGGCCACTTTTTTCATATTGATAATCTGTTAAAGGTTTTACAGACACTGGGTAATGGATATATGCAATAGTCTGCTCTTCTCCTGGAACTTTCCTTCCAGGAGTGTTTTTCTGTGTGGGAATGTTGTACACCATCTACCTTGGTGTCATCTGTGCAGACCTATTGTAGAAATGGGACAGGCAGAGAGCCTACTGATAAGGCTGTCATCTCACTTGCAAGTTTCTGCCTTTCATTTGCAACTATTTTTACATGGATCAGTTGTGCCTAGTAACTGAGGTACCACTGTAAAATGCTAAATGACTTGCCTTGAGTATAGAAAGTTTTTTCTTTCACTATCCTCATAATTTACACTTTTTTCTGTTGTTGTTTTTATTTCCCTCTTTACTCTTCCATGTGCCAACTACCTGAACTCAGCCTGTTCTGGCAGGCTGTTCCTTCCAGGTCATTGGTGATATTTTGTGGCCTGCTCCAATGTGGTGGTAAAGAGTAGTATATGAGCATCTTCATTGTCTTACTGCTGCACTAAAGAGACGTAAAATCTGTAGGTGTTTCAGCCTCTGTCCAGCATGAACAGCCTGGGTATATAGGCAGACTAGAGTGGGTATAGATGACTCTTTCTAAAATCATACTCACTCTGTGGTGGAAAATCACTATGTATCACAAGTACCCCAAAGGAAGTGTGTACAGGCATGTTTGAGCAGCACAAATCGCTGGAAATAAGCCCTATGTGTGTTGTTGCCCTACACATTTGTTGAAGCTATATTGGCCTATGACATTGGAAAGCATTCAGTGGGAGTTGCATGTTGTGTCTGCTTCATTCAGGCTGCAGTGTTGCTGGTGTACCTTCAAGCATAATTTAAACATTGCTTACTTAAAATAGTTATCTGCACATTGTTCTCCTCTGTTTACAATGAGGATAGCAGTCACAGTCCTCTAAAACAAGTCAAAATATTGAAAAGGAAGTGTAAATGCTATATGTGTTTAGTTTAGTGAGCTAAACTGAAGTGGAAAAATGTTTAATGCTTGTGTACAGCTAGAAGAGAAGACAGCTGTCTTTGTCCTCAAAAGCTTACAATATAATGTAAAACCATGGTCATGGGCATGTGTAGGTCATGGGAAGTGTAGGGAATTGGATTGTATTGGGCAGTGTGTTTGGCAGTAGCCTAACTCAAATTTCTTAGGAGAAATTTCTCAGAACAAAGTTTTAAGGAGTGATCAGGAGGAAGGAAAATGAAGTTTGGAGCTGTTTAAAAGTTTACCTCAAGTAAATGAGTGTGGATTGAGTAAAAGCCCAAATACAAGGAGAAACCAAAGAAGAATGCATTCACGCATTCCATTCATTCACGCTGAAAATGCTGATTGGGTTGAAATTCTGGGTGAATGGGACTTGAATGAGAGGAGTGCTGGGGAAAGAAGGCGTAGGAAGCAAGGTAATGAGACCTTAGACAAACCTTTTAATTGTGAAGATGAACATGCAATCTTGAAAATATGTCAAAATATTTCTGCTTGTTTTTGCATGGCTGAGTGTGAGGGTATGGAGTGATATGAGGGTTGATAATGAAGAGTTATAGGTTGAGTGATAGGCAAAATAGTAATTTTTATCTATATTGATGGAGCAAAAAGTTTGTAGAGCTGAGGCTGGCCTGATCTTAGCCATCCTCAGAGAAATGTTTGACACAGATTGGAATTTTAATCTGGTTCAAGAAGATAGGAGGGAAGAGACATATTTTCAAGTTGTCTGCACTAACATTCTGGATGAATGTATGCGTAGCTTTGGCCAGATACTCAGAAAAGACATCAGACCATTAATTCCTAATCTTTTAAGATATTCACAAATAAGCAAACACATAAGCATTGAATTTTATTTATTTATTTATTCTATTGTAATAGTTTTTTTTTAATATCTTTGTTTAAAATTTAAACAGAACTTATTTACCATATTTATATGTTCATTCATCCGTCTTGGGTGTTGTAGATGAAAAATATGTATATTTTATAATTTTACACTCTGCAGTGTATATCTCCTTGCAAGACCTAAATAAATCACTTGATGGTATATTTTAGAGGACTGTATCTGAAATTATTATTTTATTCACAACTGAGATCTTTTATTTCTTCTAATTGGTTTTGCTGTGTATTTGTCTGTCCCATCCCTGTTATCTTTCTAGTATTATACTTAACATTTCATTTTTCAGTTCTGTAAGGCAGGGTATACCATTTACCAGCATAACCTCCTTGACCTTAGAGATACTCATTCCACACATACCTGTTATAGCAGGTTTTTTCCCATAAATGTTCATTCATCTTCTCAGCTGAAAATCTTGGAATTTTAAGAATGGTACCTTTTGTTTTATTCTTCTTCTTTTAAAATTCGTGATAAATGGAATTGCTCTCCAATTTTTTTTTAGTTGAATTCAGTAATTTGAAATAAGACTAATAGTTTCCCAAATACTCATCATTGCTTCTGAAGTCATCTGGATTTTTTATAAGTCGAACTATAATAAAGCTTCCTTTAATATGATTCATTGTCCAGCTGGAGGGTAATCACTGAAATGGAACACAGACATGAACAATGACTTTAACTAAGTTGGTTCGGTTACTTTCATCCTGCTCAGCTACTTCCATTGCATTCAGTCTTTTGTGGGAGCTTTTAAAGTATGTCTTTCGATAACAGCTTGTAAAGGCTGTGGTACCTTCACATCTATTTCAAGGCTAAGATATCAACATTTCAAATGCTGCTGCTAAGAAAGCTGGTGATTCATGAGCCCATAAGCCTTAAGCCATTAAACTTGCAAACAGCGAATGGTTTAGAAACGGTTTTCAGCTAGAAGCATTTTGACATATTGGTAAATATTTTCAGGCCTTACTGGCTTACAGGCCAACATTTTGAATATATATGACTACTTTTTGCAATCTCATTACAGGACTAGCTTCAGCTTTGGACATGCAGGTATCGTGAGGAGAGATAGCCCCTGCCAAGCAGCATAATTCCCAGTGCAAAGTACGTTAATGGCTTCTATGACAATATCCCACAAGTATCAAGGACTGTAAAACTCAAATTGAGCTTGACTGGGGGAGACCCACTGAAATGGCTTGCTCAGTGGCTCAGCTTGACAGGTCCAATGATAGAAGCAATTCCCCTGACAAAGAGAGTTTGCAGTTGAAGTATATGGATCAGAGGCACATTGAATTCCTCAAAACAGGTGTCAGACTTTTCTGAATGATTTCCTTCCAGGTCACAGTCCAGCCTCACACTTGGAACAAATGCATGGGTAGTACAAAGGGTGTTTACTACTGAGGAATAAAGCTTAGCATTAATTTGCTTCTACAGATGGTCCCCATGTGATTGAAATAGACACAACTTGAGTGGAGCATTCTGCTTCACTTGAAAAGCCTGCTGTAAGTCTCAAGATGCTGCTCCACTTAAGCCTTAAACTGTATATATTGCATTAACAAAATGTGAGAAATATTGCTCCTTATAACTCTGATACACATAATAAAATTAAAAAGCAGTGAACAAATCAACCATACCTGTGATACCTCATTAACCAGGCTCTCCCATGCCTATACTGCTTGCCCCCCTTTTTTGACATCTGAAAAAAATCTATGTCAAAGCCCAGCAGGCTGGATTTGTTTCATACCAGCCTTGTGAATGGATACCAAAAATAAAGTGTACTTTTGGAAGTGAGGTCTTTTTCCCTTCCCTTAAGGGCATTTGTCTGAGAGTGCACAAAAGAAACAGCAGCAGCATGATGGCAGGAGAGGTGCAGGACTGGGTTGTTATTAGATAGCCTACCCCAAGTATATTAAAGAATGATGAATGGTCATCTCACTAGGACTGATTTCTAGAGAGCTCTAGGTCAGATTTTGTTTCACGAGTAAGAATTTATCACAAGCATGTAAAAACTGTTCTTTGCTGTTATCTTTGGGACTTAAAAATCAAGAATTCTCAGTAGACTATGTGCTTGTTGGAAGAAACAGAGAAGGGGCCATCTGTGTTAATCAGCTGTGGTTTGATAATGTGATGCGGCTGGGAAGAAGGCAGTACTGACTTTAGCAGGTAGAAAACATCTGCTGAAGAGAGAGCCCAATTAGTGTCATCACCTGAAACTCCATGCAGGCTGAAAAACCATAGTGGGGGAAATAGCTCAGATATCCCCAGGAAAGAGGAGAGTGAGATAGGCAGAGAATGGAGTCTGAGATTGTAAAGGGCAGGCTGCTTGTAGGAGAAAACAGAGGGAAATTAGGAAGGAAATTTTTTGTTGTGTGCAATGCTCCCTTTATTTTCTTGCTTTCTAATTTTATTTTTTTTTTTTAAATTTTTATTCAAGATGAAGGCTTTGTAATTGCTGTGAGGTGAACTCACTTTTTTTCTCTCAGCATATAAGATGTTTGCTGTAATTTTATGAGGTTTTTCTCTTTTGTATTAATAATTTTTGTTTCTTTACTGTTGTATTTCTTTGGGTTTGAATGTTAAAGAAAGACTATATGGAGTTTTATCTTCTTATCCATTTATGGATTTCTTTTTTGTA